CCAAAAGAGGTGCAGACAAAATGAAGTCCTTGAAAGCAGGACAAACAGGCGAAACCAAAGGAGGTTCAGCGTAGCCCCGGGAAAAAAAGTCAAGCAGCCGCAGGAGAACCAACAGGGGGTCCAGAAAGGAAAACAGTCCCCGAAACAGCAGCAGCAGCAGCAACAAAGACGGAATGAAACAACAGATACAGAAATGGAGGTGGAGGAAATGCTTCCACCTCGTGCCTCATCCTTAAAAAGGAGTAGGGAGGAGGAAGAGGATGATGCACATAAAGAAAGACACAACACAAGAAGTGGGGTGGACAAATTCACGGAAAAGACCAGGTCCAACTCTGTCCCTGAATCCCCTAGGGAAACGATCAGTTCTAAGAGTAGGGAGCCTCTCCCCCTCGCATGCCCGTGCTCCACCCCCTCTCCCTCCACTTCTTCCCTTAATTCAGATTCCACACCAACTCATGCGTCTACTTCTTCCCCATCCCACTTAGCAAAGCAGAAAAAGGTGAAGAAGGGAAAATATTTCTCTGGCCCAGGGGCTATTTGCAAAGTCGAGAAAAAAGGCTTGGATAAAGGGCTATCGAAACAAAGAAGGGCCTTATTGAGGAAGCTCAGTGGACGGCAAGTCAATAGAGGATCCCCGCAATTTCCCCGTTGCCCCTGTGGTCATCACATATGTGAGGGACCCGGGAACTAACCTAAGGGTATGAACCCATTTATACGAAGCTAAAGATCCTTCCCCCAACATAAGGATGCTCGAGTTAGACACACCTTATCTAAAGAAACTAAGACATTTCTGTGCTGTGGGGATCCCTGTCATGCTCCACCCCTGCTTAGATAGGTCGGTTAAATTAACCTACCCAATTGACGTCGGCGGTATTGCCCTGGAAGGACGAATGACGTCAGAACTAGGTGTGGGGAGCCTAGGACAGTCCGTCGGGGTCCTGACTGACGCAGATTTCCGGCCCGTATGTGAGTAGGTCTTTTCCTTTTCTAATTTTTCTTTTTCAAGCCTAATCGATGTCTATCAAGATAGCCAGTTTGAATGCGAATGGCTTGAGGGATCGGGGTATGGCTTCCCGCCTGCTCCGTAATCTCTTGTTCGGCGTGGGTGTCGCCGCCATTCAAGAGGCCGACTTTGTTTGCAACGTCGATGCTTATATGCTGTCTGACGACTCTGCCGTCTATTCAGCATATGGGAACCGACAAGCCAGAGGTGTCTCTTTGCTGGTGAAGTGTACTCTTGATGCGAAGGTGGACCTTGTGCATATCGATGCCGAGGACCTGTTGATCGTGGACGATATTGCCGGGAAAAGTAGTTCCTTTCGGGTCGTTGCGGTTTATGCACCCAACGACCAGGAGGAGCGGGTCTCGTTTTTTCAGAAGTTGGGGCCATTCCTGATGAATTCAACGCGCCTAGTTTTAATGGGGGACTGGAATGCGGTAGCGGGGTGCTAGCGGGAGAAGGGGCGATCGTAGCCTGGTTGATCTGAGCAACGAATATAGTCTCATTGATAGATAGCGGGCTGATCACCCCGGGGGAAAATGTGGATGTGGGCTCTTAGTTGGCCTTCTGACCGAGTGGTTAGCTACCTGGACAGAATGTTTGTTAGAGGAGCCGACGTAGATTTGTTACATTGTCCTACGTTTGACTGGGTAGGCTATTCGGACCACAAACTCGTTTGTGACCGGATGGCGTTAGATTGTAGGTCTAGAATGGCTGGTTACTGGAAGTTCAATCTGTTTTTACTGGACAGGCAGGACTTCCAGCAGCGGCACACTAGCTTAGTGCAGCGGGAGCTAGTGGGGGCAGTTATCGGGAATAAGTGGTAGGATAGATTTAAGCGTAGGATTAGGTCCTTCACCACGCCTCGCCCTAGATAGAGCTGAGAAGGTGAAGAAGCTTAAGGCTAGTCTTTCCCGGGAGGTGGATGAGGGATCTGCTAGAGATAGCCTTAGCTAGGGAGGCCGTGGAACGTTCGAATAGCGAGAGCTTCATGGGCCAGATAATTAGACATAGGTTAAGCAAGATGTCCCATCCGGCTTGCGGTTATGTGCCTGGAAGAGGGTCGATCTACCGGGTCCTTTCGGTTGGACGGACGGTCATGTCGGCATTCTTAGAGTGTGGTTTATGCCCCACCTCCAGATTCAAATGTAATGTCAATCGACAAAAATCCAGGGCTTGATCTATCCACTCTTCTCCTCATCCTTTCTTCTATCACTCCTATCTGATCTTTTGCTCTAAACGCCTTCTGTAACCTGGTTCCCCAGGGTCCGCCCCCTTTGGGGGTGAAATGCTTAAAAAAAAAAGAAAAAAAAGAAAATTATGAATGCTCGTGTAAATCATGGTCTACAACCATATATATATATATATATATATATATATATATATATTATATATATATAAACGAATGGAAGGGTAACTTGAATCCAGGGTTGGTCTGAATATTTTGTCGACGCGACAGGAATATGCCGTAACAACCGTTTTTCTTTAACAACTCTACAAGCGATTTGTTTTTCACCAGCTTTTTACGAAAATTAGAACTGATTATTGCATATATATATATATATATATATATATATCTGAGGCGAGTTTGGTTCCACTTAAACACACAGCCAGTCTTTGATTTTCACTTAGGTCAACTTATGTCACATCGGGGTATTTCCTGTAGAGCCCTCCCAAATTGGTTAAAAAATGTTAGACAAGACGCGTTCGGCTAGTTAACGTAAGTGTTGTCCATTTACTTTCGACAACTGCGTCTTTTGGTTATCAGAAAAATGCTCGAGATTCCAGACCTCCCTCTCTTTTGGCCCTTTTTATCTTGACGGGGACGGTATTTTTATTTATATATATCTTTAAATTTTTCTCCTCTCCCACTCCCCTTGGGAAGATCTTGATTTTTTCTTCCGGCTTCTATAACTTGACCTATATTTTTTGAGGGTATATATCCTGACTTTAAATTTAATTGTGTTGTTTACATTGTTTTAAGATGACACAGTTTTTATTGGGTTCTCTCCCTTCCTCTCTTTTTCTCTTTAGTTTTTTCTATATAATTTATTATCTCTAAATTTTTCCCTGGAAGAGTTTTTTAGGTTCCCCTTGAGAGGATGTGGTATTATGGTGGCTGGAGGATTGATTGGTGACGGACGAGTTTTTTTGGTGAATGTGCAAATCTTAATGAGTTTATGGGTCGAACTGGATTAGCTTTTCGTATAAGATAGTTAGTGAAGACCAGCCTCAACCCCTTTAACCCTTTTTAGGCCTTGTGCCATAATTGTATTGTTATATACAATAAATATAGCTTTCGTTTTTCTTTTTGGAGATTCGTCTCCAGCTAATTTAACGAACTTTCTGCCTTCGGGCTCTTGGAACCCAGACGAGGCTATGCCGAAGGGCTCTTTCTCTCTGGGGTCTCTCAATTACCCGGTCCTTCTTTTACGGGGTTCTTTTTTTCTCCCCGAGCTTACGGGCTCTTGATAACCAACGTTAAATTCGGCCTTGCCACATTTTTTCTTTCCACGTAGGGCGGTTGGCAAATCATTCTTTTTTCGGCAATTACCTTTTTCATTCGTCTCCAGCTGTTTAAATCGAACTCTCTGCCTTCTCTCGGAGAGGAACCTTTCTGAGGCTATCTCCCAAGGGCAGTCTCTCTATTGGGTTGATCATTCTTTTTACCCTAAATTATACTTTTTTTCATTTTTTGTTTTATTTATCCAACTTTTTTCACTCATTACTTTTTTTAGGGCTTGAACCTACAAAATTGTCTCTTCCCAATTCTTACAAAATAATTTGATGACAGCAAATTTTTCTTTCTTTCTTTCTTCCCCAAATTCATGGCTATTGTCTTGATCATTCTTTTTATTTTTCGGCATCTTTTTTTTTCCATTACATAAAATTTGTTTTCATTCTTTTCAAGATGAACCAGAACTTTGTTTCTGAAGTCTTTCTTTTCTCTCCGTCTTTCCTCTCAGTCTCCCAAATTATTAATTGTCTTGATCATTCGAGTCATTTTTTCAGTCTTTTTTTTCATTTTCTTGTCGCGTTCAGGACTTTTACTACTAAACCTTTTGTTCGTCCTTTCTCTCCTTCTCTGTATATTTCTTTCTTTGTAATATTCTCCCAAATTTTTACATCCGTGTTCAAGTTCTTCTTTTTTTTCATTTTCCTTGTACATTCATCACCGTTCATTCTTTTCCTCATATGAAACTTTTATATTGAAAAATACATGACATATTTGAAGAAAATCTCTCTCTCTTTCTTTCTTTCCAATCTCCCAAATTATTACTATTTCTTGGAAGATTCTTTTTATTTTTCTGGCATCTGTTTTTTTCATTTTCACTGTCGAAATTCCTAAATTTGTTTCTCTTCTTTTCCTCATATGAACCTCTCATGTCTCTCGCACCTCTCACCTCTGGAACTCCCTTCCCTCTTTCTTTTCCCTGAGAGCTTTAATCCCCAATTATTCTATTGTCTTGATCATTCTTTTTAATTTCGACATCTCCAGTTTTTTCATTTTCCTTTTGTACATTCAAAATTTGTTTCTTCTTTTCCTCATATCTGATCTTGACTGTCTCTTCCCAACTCTCTGCGTGCTCTGGCTTCTCTCTCTCTTTTTTTTTTTGAAATTCTTTCTTTATTTCTCCCCAAGAAAATTATTGTGCTTGATAAAAGAGAATTTTATTTTTCAACCATATATTTATATATATATTTCAATGGCGAAGGGTAAAAATTTGGGTTTCGAATATTTTGTCCTGCCATAATATGCCTCTTACTGTTTGTCTGTTAACAACTCTCTCTCTCTCTTTCTTTTCTCTCTTTTCTTTTTACGAAAACCCAAATTTTTACTAATATATTGATTATATATATTATTTTTCGGCATCTTTTTTTTTTTCTTAAACATTCAAAATTTGTTTATCATTCACTGTTCAATACAAGACGTGTTTGTCTATAAGAATACAATTTTTCTTTTCCTTCTCGACAACAGCAATAACATTATCAGAAAAAAATGTTTTATGAGCAATCATTCTTTTATCATCCGCCATTGACGTTTTTTTTTCCTTTTCATTCGAAATTTGTTTCTAATTCTTTTTTCTCTATGAACCTTTCACTTTGTCTCTCTCTCTCTCTCTCTCTCTCTCTCTCTCTTTCTTTATATATTTATATATATATTCTTTCTGTTCACCCAAATTATATAAGATGTTTTGAAGATTTAAACCCTTTTTTTTTTTCCGCATCTTTTTTTTTCATTTTTGGTTGTTCACATTCAAAATTTAAGTTTAGACATCCATTTCACACAGACCTCAGAGAGTCTCTTCCCTCTCTCTCTCTCTCTCTCTCTCTCTCTCTTTTTCTTTCCTTTGTTTTTGGTTCCTGTTATTACTATTGTCACGGATCATTCTTTTTATTTTCAACATCTTTTTTTTTCCTTTTTTCTTTTACCATTCTTATATTGTTTCTCATTCTTTTCCTTTGCATGAACCTCTCACTTTGTCTCCTTCCTCTTCTCTCTCTCCACAAATCTCTCTTTTACCTTTCTTTCCCTCTTTTACGAAATTATTACTATTGTCTTGATCATTCTTTTTATCTCACATTGTAATTACTTGTTTTCTTTTTTCTTTTATTATCGTTTCCATTTTAACCTCTCTTTCTACTTCTCTTTTGCACGCTCGCTTAAGTTTTTTCCTCTCTCTCTCTCTCTCTCTCTTTCTCTCTTTCTTTCTTTCTTTCTTTCTTTCTCCCAAATTATTACTATTGTCTTGATCATTCTTTTTATTTTTCGGCATCTTTTTTTTCATTTTCCTTGTACATTCAAAATTTGTTTCTCATTCTTTTCCTCATATGAACCTCTCACTTTGTCTCTTCCAACTCTCTCTCTCTCTCTCTCTCTCTCTCTTTTCTTTCTTTTCTTTCTTTCTTTCTCCCAAATTATTACTATTGTCTTGATCATTCTTTTTATTTTTCGGCATCTTTTTTTTCATTTTCCTTGTACATTCAAAATTTGTTTCTCATTCTTTTCCTCATATGAACCTCTCACTTTGTCTCTTCCCAACTCTCTCTCTCTCTCTCTCTCTCTCTCTCTCTTTCTTTCTTTCTTTCTTTTCCCTCCCAAATTATTACTATTGTCTTGATCATTCTTTTTTATTTTCGGCATCTTTTTTTTCATTTTCCTTGTACATTCAAAATTTGTTTCTCATTCTTTTCCTCATATGAACCTCTCACTTTGTCTCTTCCCAACTCTCTCTCTCTCTCTCTCTCTCTCTCTCTTTCTTTTTTCTTTCTTTCGTTCTTTCTTTCTCCCAAATTATTACTATTGTCTTGATCATTCTTTTTATTTTTCGGCATCTTTTTTTTCATTTTCCTTGTACATTCAAAATTTGTTTCTCATTCTTTTCCTCATATGAACCCCTCACTTTGTCTCTTCCCAACTCTCTCTCTCTCTCTCTCTCTCTCTCTTTCTTTCTTTCTTTCTCCCAAATTATTACTATTGTCTTGATCATTCTTTTTATTTTTTCGGCATCTTTTTTTTTTTTTTTCCTTGTACATTCAAAATTTGTTTCTCATTCTTTTCCTCATATGAACCTCTCACTTTGTCTCTTCCTAACTCTCTCTCTCTCTCTTTCTCTCTTTCTCTCTCTCTCTCTCTCTCTCTCTCTTTCTTTCTTTCTTTCTTTCTCCCAAATTATTACTATTGTCTTGATCATTCTTTTTATTTTTCGGCATCTTTTTTTTCATTTTCCTTGTACATTCAAAATTTGTTTCTCATTCTTTTCCTCATATGAACCTCTCACTTTGTCTCTTCCCAACTCTCTCTCTCTCTCTCTCTCTCTTCCGCCCTCTCAATCTTTCTCTGCCTATGTCCTCTATATCCTTCTGTATCAAGTTCTTGCTTTCATTATCATTTTCACTCCCTTTCTTTATCTCTTTCCAGTCCTTGCTTTCTTTATCATTTTCACTTTTTTCTTTATCTCTTTGCCAGTCCTTGCTTTCTTTATCTTTTTCACTCTCTTTCCCGTCTTTTCCTAATTTATCAGTTTCACTCACTTTCTTTCTCTATTTCCAGTCCTTTATTTCTCTATCATTTTCACTCGCTTTCTTTATTTCTTTCCTGCCCTTTCATTTTTTCTTTCTTTATCTTTTTCTCTCATTTATTTATTTATTTATTTCCAGTTTTTTCTTTCTCTATCATTTTCGTTCTCCTTCTTTTTCTCTTTCCAGTCCTTACATTCTCCATCATTTTCACTCTCTTTCTTTCTCTCTTTCCAGTCCTTACATTCTCCATCATTTTCACTCTCTTTCTTTCTCTCTTTCCAGTCCTTACATTCTCCATCATTTTCACTCTCTTTCCAATCCTTACTTTTTTTATCATTATCACTCTCTTTCTTTATTTCTTTCCTGTCCTTTCTTTCTTTATCTTTTTCACTCACTCTATTTATTTCCAGTTTTTTCTTTCTCTATCATTTTCACTCTCTTTCTTTCTCTCTTTCAAGTCCGTTCTTTCTTTATCATTTTCACTTTCTTTCTCTCTTTCCACTCATTTCTTTCTATGTCTCCAGTGATTCAGCATAAACTTTTACACATATTAGTAATCTCAAATCAGGTTGATCTACTTAAACTTTTCAGATATAACGAATTTAAAAGCTGCTTCGTGTGGTAATTTGACATCAAATGGTGAAAATAATTGCTGTTTTTATTAAGAAAGGCTCGTCTTTCAATACTGAAACAATTCAGCCTAAAGATTTACACAATATAACATGATAAAAATATTGTTGTATTGGTGAAAATTTCAAGTTTAGTGGCTAGCATTCAATGATAAATGCAGTCCGCCATGTGTGATGTCTTCCCGTTGACTAACGTGAGCGGTGATATCATTTGCTGACAAGGGGGATAGAGAGAGTAAGGTAGAATATGTTTTCCGTGATCACGTGTGCATGTGAATGCTTCCGGTTATGTGCCATAGACTGCAACTCTTTATCGAGCTGTTTTCTCGAACAAGTGTGTGTGTGTGTGTGTGTGTGTGTGTGTGAGAGAGAGAGAAAGAGAGAGAGAGGGAGAATGTGTGCGTGTACTTCTCTATGTGACCGGTTCTGAATGTGTGCGCATGCCCACGCAGTGCTTGTATACGCGCAAGGATTTGCCTGTTGTCTACACAAAGTCGTTATATCTGAAAAATTCAAGTACATCACACCGATTACAATATCGTACAATGGGTTGTATGTATATATGTTGGAAATTTGTGAGTACCTTCTATCAGTGGGTGAAAACACGCGTTGCACGTGACGTGAATTGAACAGGACCTCTGCTTAGATAAGCTATGAATTCCAACAATATCAGAAAACAAAGACGCGAGTGTTGCAATTGAGTATATATATATATATATATATATATATATATATATATATATAGAGAGAGAGAGAGAGAGAGAAAGAGATAGATAGATAGATAGATAGATAGATAGATAGATAGATTATAATTTTATTTTTAATATATAATCATCGTAACAGCGGAATCCCCGTGTTTCAAAACTGAAACTTCAATTCAAATTTAATCATAAGAATTAAACTTAAAATAAAAATTTCCGTTCCATTATCAATTGATGCTAAGAATAACTTGATTTAATTTATAAGTCCAGACAAATTTGATATTTTCAGATGTTGGGGTTAAGAAAATTCCATCTTTTTTTTTATTTTAGGGGTGTTAAGCTTTAACTTATTTAGAAAACTCATGTATCTAATGTATTGTAGCTAATGAAACCCAGACGATATGATGGAACATAGATACTACCACAAATTTCTACTTCGAAAAAGGAAGTTTTCATCAACAGACAGATACCCCAGCCCCCATCTTGACTTGAAAGACTTGATAGCTACAATGCATTAGATACATTCCATGCCATAATTTGTGTTTATATAACTGTTGTATACCGTACTTATGAACATTAGTGAGTATGTCCCAATCCTAATAAATACGTTGGACACTATTGTAAGTGGGGGTAAGACGCTGTCTAAGTAGTCCACCACTAGCAGTGGTTTACCTACTTCACACCGCTGGCGAGTATTGTATTTTGTTGATGTTATAAAGATTACCATTTCCTTTCCAACTTCGCTTTGGTTATTCCTCATTCAGTAGCATTTTCTAGATTACAACAATGACTCAATTAGTTGCTGATGAGGCGTTAAATACTGACTCTTTCTCTCTTTTTCTAGAATCGAATCCTAATATTATTACTGCTGCAGCTTTTTAATCCAAACAATAAGTAGATGGTATGAAAATAATGCAAGTAAACTAAAGCGTCAAACAGAACAAAAAAATATAGTCAAACATTTAAAGCTAATCGCATCATTTGGCTTTGCATATTCGAAACAAACAAGTTCAACAGCAGATGCACCCAGGAATATTTGCCAGTAACACTTAGTACCATTGGCACCCGGGAACATTTTTAGTAACTCCACTTACCCAGTGGCACTCCAGAAACTTCGTCTGTAAATCCAAGTACCAATCCCAACTAGGAATATTTGTCAGTAACTCCAAATATCAGCAGAACCATAGACACAGAAGCTTTAGTTTCCTTCGCCAAATGTACGGAAGCAAGTGTTTGTTCTTCATCTGATTTCATTATCAAGAATGATGTAGATTTATTGACAACATTGAGTAGGGAAGAAATCTCATACTGGATAGAAAAAGACTCTTTGAAATGTCAACACTGGGGTGAACTTTTCACAACTTCAAAGGGAACTGCTAGAAGTGCGTCAAGTGAATTCCACAATGAATCTCCAACTGCAGACCGCAGACGGTATCTACCAACGGCACCACGCAGTCATATGTGGCTCAAGACCGAATTTATTGTGGTGTTCCCGAGCCCGTAGTCTCAGCAAAAATTCCCCGTAGACCCCGTATAAAACGGGGTCGGGTAGGTGTTTCCCGAGATGAGACTCTGTCCTTCAGCATAGCCTCGTCTAGGGATACTCTCTGCCCTGAGGCAGAGAACTTAACCAGCCCAGCTGAAGACAAATCTCCAACTGCAGGCCGGCCGATCAACATATACGGTATTCACTACTGTATTTATTGGAATGGGGGCCTTACCCATTTATCGTCCGTACGTATGCTACAACAAAAAGGGAGCCATTCGACAACCGGGGTTCCTCTGTAGTCAAACATTTAAAGCCAATCATTTGGCTTTAAACGCCAATTATTTGGTTTTGCATATTCGAAACAAACAAGTTCAACAGCAGATGCAGAAGATTCAAATGCACCCAGGAATATTTGCCAGTAACACTTTGTACCAGTGGCACCCAGGAACATTTTTTAGTAACTCCAATTACCCAGTGGCACTCTAGAACCTTCGTCTTTAACTTCAAGTACCAGTGCCAACTAGGAATATTTGTCAGTAACTCCAAATATCAGCAGAACCATAGACACAGAAGCTTTAGTTTCCTTCACCAAATGTAGAAGAAGCAAGTGTTTGTTCTTCATCTGATTTCATTGTCAAGAATGATGTAGATTTATTGACAACATTGAGTAATGAAAAAATTTCATACTGGATAAAAAAAGGCCATTTGGAATGTCAACACTGGGATGGTCATTTCACACCTTAGTAAAGAACCTACAAAAATTATACTCGTCCTTGCTCAAGAAGTTTATTCTTCTTCACTAAAATAAATGGAGAAACCTACTTTTGGGAATGGCGAATTTTGTTGGAGAATTCTCCAACAAAAAGAAAAGTCTACTGTTTTTTTGTGCAAACTTTTCTCAAAATTCTGTAAGGATGTTTCTTCAGGATTTGATAACTGGTATAATCCTAAAATTATTTAGACCCGTGAAAATTCAAGAAGTGGACCTATTTAACAATAAAACGTGGTCAGACGCTTACAACAAAGCTTGATGAGCAAATCAAAGCAGAAGAGGAATATTGAAGGTGTGTACTTCAACAGGTGATAGCAGTGATTTGTCTGTTGGCAGAACGGGGGTTAGCTTTTAGAGGAGATGATGAAACCTTCGGCTCTTCAAACAATGGATCGCCAAATTTGATCCCTTCTTACGAACCCACATAAGCCAGTATGGAAATAAAGGAACGGGCCATCCATCATATTTATCAAAGACCATATGTGCAGAATTTATCCAGCTAATTGCTAAAAAAAGTGAAAGATATCAAAGAAGCAGGATATTTTCGTGTATCAGTCGATCCAGTGTGGATCAATTCATTGTAATTGTTAGATATGTATCGCCCGTTGATGGAATACCAGAACAATTTTTGGTATTTATTGAAATGAAGTATCGCTCGGATCAAAGAATAGTTGAAATGATACTGAAATTCTTTGAAGAATTTGAAATTGATTTTAGTAAATTCAGGAGTTATTCATATGACAATGCAGCTAAGATGGCTGGAAAGTATAATGGCGTTTGACAGAAAATTTTAGAAAAGAACAATTTTGCAAAATTTAGTCACTGTGCTGGACATTCCCTAAATCTGGTTGGAAGAGCTACTGTTGACTCTTGCCTGGAGGAATGAATTTCTTTGGTGTGGTCAATAAATTTTATTGATTTTTCTCTTCCTCTACAAAACACTGGAAAGTGCTGAAAAACTTCTTGCCATCAGAGCCAAAAGTTCTGCAACATTTATTTGCCACGAAATGGGAGGCCTATTCCAGAGCGACAACAGCCATCAATGAAAGTTAGGCACACATTATTGAAGCACTCAGTCACATCGACGATGATGACACTTTAAATGGTGACACTAGATGACATGCTTAAAAGTTTTTGCAGAACATGGAAGAATTTGAATGTGTATTCATGCTTTATCTATCGACATGTTTGCTTGAGCAGTGTCACAAAGTTATGCCTTTCAAAGTGTAGAGATTTCATTGACCACATGTGCAAACCTATACAGTTCACTTCTTCAATTTGTTTCCAGCAAACAAAGGTGTAGAGTACGAAAACTGAACACAATGATGGCAGTGCAACTGAAACCTTGCATGAAATTCCTCCAAGAGATATACATTCATTTATCTCTGTAATTGATGTTCTTCACTCAAATTTGAAGAAAAGAACTGCTGTGTACAGGAGTGATGCTGACAATGTTTCGTTTATAACCGACCTGCAAGTAACGTGGTTATAAATTATCTATGGGGTCAAGAGACTAGAATAAGAATATCCAAAGGATGTTGATCTCAATCTTGTTGATAAACCCTTGACTTTCCACTTGTATATTAAATAGGCTTAAGCAGAAAAAGAAAGTTTCAGCCACCAGGATATGTACCTGATAATAAAACATGAAAAATCCAGGCTGCTTTTCCAAATATGGAAACAAACAGACTGTTCCTGTGTTTAATGGCAACTAACTGTTCTGAAGAGAGACCATTTTCCAGATTGAAAAGGATCAAAAGTGACCTTCGTTCGACAATGTCACAATAGCGGTTGTCTGGTCTGAGTATTCTCTGTATAGAGAATGATAAACTGCGACTTATTGATTTTGATGAAATCATTGATGAGTTTGCAGCCAGGAAAGCTCAAAGGAAGATGGTTTCACATTAAATGACCTACCGTAAATG